TCACTGCTCTCTCCGATAAGCTGCTCAGCCTTCGTCAGCCTCCCCTGAGTTTTCCGGCACGCAGCAAAGCTGCTCTGATTTTCCAGTTACCCTCTGCTGACCGCCGCTGGGATCTGCAACGGAGCTTTGTGCCACATCACAGGTCTCAGCATCTTGGCAGCTCTCACCGTGCCCCGTAACAGAACTATTCTCCTTCATCGAACGCTCTGGGCTTTGCAGGATTTTGCTGTGGCCTGCGACAGAAATGTTACCCTTGCCAAATTTCCCAGTGCTCTGCCAGTTTTTTCTGCCTTTTACAGAATTATTATCCTCCGTCTCGTTGGGTTTTGCTGTGCGTAACTTCAACATTGCATTACACAGCCCTGGCTTTCCACTGGCCGTGGGAGTGATGCTCCTGCCCACCTGGAGGAACCGTTGCTGCGGGCAGGGCTGTACGCAGCCTTGGGGCTCCCGGCCTTTATCATCGGCCCTTTGCTGGGGTGAGGATCGGGCTTATCTTCCCCGGTCCCTCCCGTTCCACCCTCCCTTTCATCTGCTCCGTGCAACCCTCCCTCCCGCTCTCGACTTCATCCCGTTTCCCGCAGAGAAGACAAACACAAGCGAAGGCAAAACATGCTGCAGCCAGTTTGCTTTGGGTCCTGCCTCTGCTTCCCCGCAGCCCCTGCTCCCACGCTTTCCTCGCCACCTAACAAAATGGCTGGGGGACAGCTAATTAGCTCAAGGGATAATAATTACCTTCTTATCGCTACTCTTCAGTCCTCCTGCCCTCTATTTCCCCACATTGCGTGATGTATCCAGCCCTTGCTGGCTGCAAGAAGCACTAACGTCTCCTCCAAGAAAAACCACGGTGTGGAGGAGGAGTGGGACCACGACCTTAGGTCAACGCACTGCAGCAGCAGCAGCAGCAAGGGCTTTGCTCGGAAGGGGCAGCCCCGCTGGGTGATTCATGGGTGGAAAAGGGCCTTTCAGACACAGACGGCTGCTGCCGGGAGCAGGGTGAGGCCGGCAGCGTGGAGGCTGCAGCTGGTCTGGGGAGCAGGACGGTTCTGCAGCATCCGTACGCTAATTCCTGTGAGAAGATGGGGAAAGGAGCCTGTGTCTGCTCCTGAAACCTGGGGATTTTGGGAGAAGCTTGCTGTTATGCTCTTGTGTGCGTGGGGAGGGAAGGGAGCACCGAGGGTCTGGCACAGGGAGGAGGAGGAGGAGGGGGAGGAGGTTCAGGGTCAGCTGGGAGGTCAGGCTCTGACCCTCTGCACTGGATGGTGCCAATGCAGTGCAGCTGGGGATGAGCCCAGGTGATGGAGGTGTCCAGAGGAGCAAGAGGAGAACAGGACTGAAGAGTCCCAGAGCCCTGCAAGTGCAGACAAGGCTGTGGCTGCCATCGGGCAGCACCGGGAGACCCTCAGGTTCTGAAAGGCTGCACTGGAAGAGCTGATAGCTCCATCGCCACCATCCCCTCCCCAGCCCTGGCGCTCAGCCCTGCCCGCAGCGCCGGCACCAACCCTGGCTCTCGCCACCCAGCCTGGGCCGAGCATCACGTGCCAGCGCCACAACGGCTCAACCGACGCCACGGGTGGCGGCAGCGCTGTCCCACGGCTTTGCGGCACGTCCAGCCTCGAAGTGGTGGCATCCCCCCGCGTGGAGCTGCGAGATGGGATCGGCTCCGTCCCTGCGGCTCCCTCCGAAGCTGGGTCAGCCCCAGCATGTCCTCGGTGCCGCCGAACAGCACAGGTCTCTCCAGGACAGGACTGCATTGCAGTGAAGGGCTGTCCTTCGCTGAGTTAGCGTGGCTGCTCTCCAGCTGCTGGCTCTGAAGAGCCGCTCCGGTGCAGGGGCTCTGGTCCAGCAGCTGTGAACGGAGAGCAGGGGCCTCGTCTTGGCTGCACACCCTGCACCAATGGGCAGGACGGGGTTTTTCGGAGGGGGCAAATCTGCAAAAGCCTGCGAGGGCGAGTCCTTATCTATGGCCTCAGCACAGGGACGCCTGGACAGTGCAGAACCGACCCCCCCAGCTAATGCTGAGCAGAGGGAGAAATCGTTCGTGCCCCGAGCCGGGGGGCCGGTGGGCGCTTGCTGCCCACGGGGGGGATGGAGGGGGCTGGCGCCGGGGCTGTACATGGCTGTGCATCCATCGCTCCCTGCAGCCTTTACTCATGTGCTGCTGGCTGCTTGCTGTGGTGGGGGCTATTTTTCCGTTGAGCGTACATGTCACCGGGGGAAGCTATTTTTGATAAAACAAACAAATCTTTCCAGCTTTTCTAAAAATAGCCATTGCCCTTTTTTCTCCCCCTCCCTTCCCAGCTCAGGCTGCCTTAGAGACAGAAATCCGCCTCGAGCCATCCAGTTATTAATACCAGTAAACAAACCCTTATCTCCGGTGCCCTGTTCTAGCGGGAACATGTGGGGGCGGGAGCCACCCGGCTGCCAGGAGCCCACGTCCCCATGTCCCCGCATCCCTGCTGCCTGCCTCGGCGTAGTCCCACGCTGCCGCTCCTGCCTGGCTCCAGCCGGCAGATGCAGCCAAGGTGGCTGGTTTGGGTTTGATTTGGGGTTATTCCTCGTGCCGCTGCCACCTTCGCTGGCTTTAGCATCTCATGGGATGCAGAGAGGGATGTGATTGCCCTTCCAGGTGCTGAGGACGCTGCCTTCACCTCCTGCCCCTCAGCATCCCCATCCCTACCTGCATACAGTCCCCATGGCGTGGGGATCGGGGGGCTCACAGCACAAAGGGGGCAGCTCCTTCCCCAAAGCAGCACATGGCAGAGGCTAAAAATTTAAGGGGTTTAAGGGGAGACCAGGATTTGTGAGGGCTTTCTGCACAGGGAGAGACCCCCACCAGGCCCCGGGCGATGGATGGACGGAGTATTTCTCAGCAAGGAGTAAAAAGAGAAATACCTTTTATTACAGATAAAAGCCTCATGTTTCTAGAGAGCAGAAGGCAGCCCCATTACGGGACAGGCACGCGGGTGGGTACAAAGCGCTTGGTGCCAGGAACATGGAGCTGCTGCAGAGTCCTCTTCCTCCTCCTCTTCCTCCTCCTCTGGCTCCCAGGAGGGAGCCGGCGGTCAGTAGCAGTGTGCGATGGTCTCCATGTTGAGGAAGCGGACATGCATCTTGGTTTCAATGTCGATCCCCTGCCACATCTGCAAGGGGAAGGGGGTGAGCGGGGCCAGGACGGGGGCTCGGCTCCGTGCCCACACCGAACGCCCAGGTCCCTGCGACCGCCCAGCGCCCTCCTCCTGGGGAGACGAGCAGAGATGCCACCAACCTTAAGGAAGTCTTCGAAGGTGATGCCCTCATACACCTGGTCCGGCCCCTGGGCGCAGCGAGAGAGAAAACGTTACGGCTGCCCCACGCCAATGGGGCAGGGGCCTCGGGGCACTGGGTCACCAGGGGTGGGTCCCTTGGAGCTACAGGACATGTCTCCCACGGGCACACAGCCCTGGCCCCGCACCGTGCCCCATGGCCAGCCCAAAACTGGTTCCCAGAACCATCATGGCTGCAAGGAGCTGCCTTTTTTATAAGCACTAAAGCCCCAAGCACTGAGGATGGTGCTTTATGGGCTGCTGTTTGCTTATCCCCCTTGGGCTCTTATAATGGAAAAAAAAAAATCCCAAACAAAAATCCTGAAAGCTGCTGCCTGCAAAAAAAAAAAAAAATCTTCTCTGGCCAAAGCAGCCCAGGGACAAGGGAGATGCCCCGGGCAGGACAGACACCTTCCAGCCCCATTTTCGATACCATCACTGTGCTTCTGTGCCACGGTAGAGCAAGGAATCGGCTCCCACCATTTGTCCCACACAGATGCTGGCTGCCTCCATCATGGCCCCGTCGGCGATGGACCGCGCCGACTCCTTCTCCAGGTGGGGGTTCCCCGACAGCAGCTCCTCCACCACCTACGAGGCAGCAGGTCAAAGCTGGGGCTGGGAATTCGGTGGTGATGGGGTGGGAGGGACCATACGTTACATTTCTGTACTCCTGCAGCGTGATCTTCCCGTCGTGGTCCGAGTCGTACATGTGGAAGAGGACTGGGAGGGACGAGAGGAACGCGGCAGGGTCAGGGGAGCCCCGTCCCGCCATCCCCCCCGCCTGCCCTGGGCTTTGGGCAAGCCTCACATTTGAGTTTCTCTTTCCGGAAGCGATCGAGCTGCTCCTCGTCCATGTTCATCTCGATGGGTCTGAAGTAGGACATGATGGTCAGGAAGTCTTCAAAGTTTATCTCATCCGCCAGCCCATCTGGCTCCTGCCGCAGGTTCCTGCCAAGAGCGGAGCCGCCGGTGATGGGCAGCCGGGACCCCCCCCGGCCGCCCGCTCCTGCCTGCCGCAGAGCCCGGCGCATCCCTCGGCAAAGCTTTAGGACTGTTTTTTTCCCTAAGGCTTAGCTTAAATGTCTGTAATTTTCACCCTGGCTCCATCGAGCCTTTAGGAAGATCTTTGCCCAGCCATGTCCTGCTTTCAGAGGACAAACCAATTACCCCGACCCTCCCCGTGGTGCCGGGGATGTTCTTACCGCTTGTCGAAAAAGGCATGGACGATTTTCCCCCTAATTGGGTTGAATTCCAGATCGGGGATGCTGTCAAAATTCTCCTTGCTGCAAAGGAAACAGAGACAGCCCAAAGTGTGAGGGAGCTGCGGAGGAGGGAGATGCTGCGACAGTCACCGAAGGGCTGGTGCAGAAGCCCCAACCCCATTCTTTCAAAGCAATCATGAAAAAAAAAAAAGAGGTTTTGCATGAAAACCCCTATTTGCCTCAATTCAGACTGAAAGCAAGCTGCGCTGCTGCATCGGTCTGTGCTTGGTGCAGCTATGGGCAATTTTTGTCCCCAGTAAAATGGGTCTTTGGGAAGCTCTGGGACACAGCGGCTCGGGGCTGACGCTGGGGTCCTTTGTACGGCTTGACCTGCAAACGGCTGCACAGTTTTCAGAGAGTTTTCCCAGGAATATAAAGTCCCGAATGGGGCTCAACAAGGTGGGGGAAAGAGCTTCTGCCGTCCACCCTCCCCTTGGCTTCCTCTGTCCTGCACCGTCCCGCTGCATCTCGCTGCCGCCCTGTGTTGTGCTGCACAGACACCAGGTTGAGCCTGTGCTGGTCGTTTGCTATTGACTTTTTATAAAGCAAATGAGCCAAGAAATAATCTCCGGGGGTGGAGGGGGGAGGTGGTTAGGCAGAGGGCAGCTGGGCTCCCCAGCCCGCGCTGTCTCCTCGCGTGGCTGGTGAAGCTGGTCGGACGCGCCAGAGCTTTCCCAAGGAAGCTGAGTCGTGGCTTTGGTGCACAGTTGCCTGCACAGACAGCGGGGATGGGGAAAAGGGGAACTGCAAACCCCACCGTAGCTCCTGTGTAGGGACTTCTCACGTCCCGGATTTCCAAAACCGATTTTAAAGCTGGGGGGAAAATGGGATGCGTGGCAGGAGAGACCCTGCTCTCAGGCCACTGCTTCACCACTCATTATTTGTAATGCCACACTGCAGAGAGCCAGCTCAGCACGGCCGTGGGATGACCGGGAAGGACACGCTCATCCTTGCAGCCCGGGGAGCCGGGCATCTCGACTAGGCACCCTTCGCCAGCCCGGGGAAGGCAGGCGCCCCGGCAGTGGAAATGGAAGCGCTGTACCGGATTGTCAGCTGGTCCCGGCTCAGCTGCTTGAATCGCCGGTGCAGGTGCTCGATCTGTTCAGAGGTGACTGTCGGGGCAAAAAGAGAGAGGTGACAGGGGGGTGAGCTCCCCGGGCACAGGGTAGCCCCCAGGGGACCCCCGGGGGACCCATCTGCAGAACTCATGTCCTGCCCAGGGACACGAGGAAACTGGTGGGCACCAAAACCTGCTGCAAAGCTCGTTCCCTGGGGACACCACCAAAGCCCGTCCCGTGCGGCAACAGCCAAAAGGCTGCCTGCTCCCACACCCACCCCCAGCGGCGGGGCAGGGCCTTGGGCACTTCTTGGCACAGTCGTCCCCTGTTCCCTTTGGTGGCTCTATGCAGCTGCGTTGGTCCCTGTGTGCTCTGCCCCTTGCTCGCTGCAGGGCTGTGTGTGACAGGGGCTGGGTTTTTACCCGTCAGAAACGCCCCTGGCCCAGACTGCACGGCACGACGGCACAGCGCGTGGCACGGCAGGATACCACCCCCCCCACCCAGTTCAGGATCCTTGGTAGCAGACCCTTCAAACAAGACCATTTAATTTGGGGGGTGTTGGTGCCGTGGGCAGGAGCCGTGCCCGGGGAGCACGTCTTGACCTGCCCTGGGACATCTCTACTTGCAGCTGGGAGGTTCATGTGCTCATGTCCACAGCCATGCCGGGGGACAGAAAATAACACTAAATAAAAAAGAAAACCCCAAAGCTGACAGTAGCCACCTGTGTCTTGCCAGGGGCAAGGAAAGGCTGACCATGGAGGAGACGCATCGGCACCCAAAAAGCAAAGCCAGGCTTTGAAATAGGTGCTGCTGCTCGGGGCGGGGAGCCGGGGCACCGGGAAGCCCCGAACCATCGAGGTGGGCACTGCCTCCCCAGGGATGCACCAGCCCCCGGGCAGCGCAGCTGCACCCGCCGGAGCATTAGCCTGGGGTAGGGGCTGGAAGCAGGGTGCCCATCAGCCTTGCTTTGAGACCCACGAGTGCTGAGGTTACAGCGTGAGGCTCAGCAGCATCTTTTCACCTCCTTAATCCCATGACACAGGTTTGTGGTTTGGTTTTTTTTTTTTCCCCCAGCTATTCTTTACAGGCTGTAACCAAGCTCTACAAACCCCCGAAGACATGCAGAGCCTGACTCTCTCGTGCAAATATTGACAGCAGCCATTCCCAGGAGCCGGGGAAGCGGCTTTCAGCTCTGTTTGCAGGAGCTGGTGGCGTCTGTCCAGGCGCCAGCTGGACCGGGTGCTCGCTGCAGCCCTGGCTGGCGCTGGGCACGGGGCAGGGCTGCGCCGGTGGCCAGTCGTCAGCCTTTCCCAGCGGCGCAGAGAAAGATAAAAGCATGTTAAAGTATAATTGAGGGATTGCAAATGGTTAACTGCTGGGACTGAAAGACAACAGGTCAATGCTGAGCTCGCGTGCTTGCTGGCTGGCTCGCTCCCTCTCTCTTTTTATTATGTTTAAATAATGTCCTTTGCTCCGTTTCTGACTGTTGTTTTACAGCCTTGAAATAGAAACTGTATTGATCAGTAAGGCTGAGCATTTACAGACCTCTAGTAATGGACTGGAAAACCCATCTGTGCTTGTTGCTGGGGCTCTGTGCCTGCCCCGGATCTCTGCCTGAGCTGGCAGCTGCCAGACCTTTTGCAGGATGAGGCCATTTAAGCCCCCTGGCCTGGCTTTGGGGGGTCCCCCCTCTGAAACCGCCTGGCTCTCAGGCGGTGACACCTGCTGCACGGGTGCTCAGGCACCACCAATTCACCCATATGATGTTTTTCCCCCCCTAATCTCTCTCCCCCCCTCTCCCTCCCCCTCTCCCTCTCGATACACGCGTACCTCATCTCCCTCTCCCTCTTTCACATGCTTTCTCTTGACTTTGCTTTCCAATTTTGGCCACAGAGAAGTGACCTTTCGCTTTCTCCCTTGACAACATTGCCATCACCATGGGAGCAGCTGGGCCACCAAGACTTCAGCATCTGTGACTTGGTCGCACAACAAAATCTTTGATCTCGTAGAAAAAAGTCCCAGCACAGACATGAAAAAAACCTGGGGTAACTGGCTGGATGCTCACGGTTGGTCCAGCCCCGCTGCCCATCCAGCCCACAGCTGCAAGGCAAAAAAAGAGGGCTCTTCCTCCCTCTTTCCCCAAACTTAGGTCTTCCTCGCCCAGCTCCAAGCTGCGGCGCAGGGCTGCGGTGCAGGCAGGACCACACCGCTCCCGCGAAGGGTGGCAGTGCTCGGCTGCTTTCCAGAAAAAAAAAGCTGCACCTGCACAAAGGGCAAAGGCTTTCCTGCGAGAAGGACTGGCTCAAGGGCAGCAGAGGCTGCCCGTATCGCTGAGAAACAGCCTCCGTGCTCTGATGCTGCAGGCCGGTGTCCAAGCACGGCAACCTACTCTACAGGGGAAAAAAATGGTATTTAAACTGAAGGGCGCTGGGTTTGCCATTTCCCAGCCTGCGGCAGTTTGTGCTGCTTGAGCAAAGGGCATCCCCCGCAGAAGAGGTGCATTGGAGGGCCTCAGCCCTGCGCTGCCCTCCCTGTGCTGTGTTTCACCTTGCGGGACCCGCCTGGGTGCAGGAAAAGATCGCGTCGTCCCAGGAAGAGCCACTTCAGCACCAGGCAGATGCTGCTGCTGCAGCTTCACGAGCGGGCACGCAGC